TAGAATACAATTAAGATAAATATTACGATTGGATAAAGAAGTAGACTAGTTGTTATAATTAAATTATTTAACTTAAATTAGAAATTTAAATATTCTTAAAACTATTTAATTTTTTAGAGAGTAAGTTTTATGATTAATTATTAAGTTACTTAAAATTTAACAATTCATTAAATAATCTTTTTATTCTAGTTCGTGAGTATAAAGATTATTTATTAATCTATATATTTAAAATCTGCAATTCATGTTTATAAAATTTACTCATTAAATAATTTTTTTATTTGGATTAATTTAATGTCAAAGAACGAAGATAGAAAAGTGTCAAAGAATGAAGAAGGAAATTCAAAATCAAGAAGAGATAAGAGGAATACTATAAATGATGAAAAGACTAAAATAATAAGTAGTGAAATTGATAAAATTGAACAGTTTATTGTAATATATAAAAAAAAAATTTTTTTTTAATAAACATAAAAAAATTAGCTATTTCAATTTTTACATATAAAAATTTTGTACAGTATACTGATATATATATATTTATCTAAACTAGCAAATTCATAAAATTAATATGTAAAAATAAATAAATAAAATACTTATCCTCACTAAAATTTTAGTCTAGCCCAATTTATATATCAAATTTTTGCATAACAATTTAATTTCAATTACAAATTTGTGATAGTTTGTGATTGAAAGTACAATATTATTTTTAATCTTTTTTTTTTAAACTACATGATCTGGAAATAAAAATATAATAAAAATACATTGATACTAATAAAAATAAATAATTAATATTTTTTTTTTAAAAAAAATAAACCTTTTATACAAACCAAAATCATAATTCTATTTTTTTTTTTCGAGAATATCTTTTTTTTTGAAATTAATCAAATATTTCAAAAATCAATTCGAAACTTTTACCTTATTAGTTATTTGGTTAATATCGTTTGATGAACTTGCAAATTCAATTATATCAATCTTCGTAATAAGCTACTAATATTTATAGTTTCAAAGTTATCATACTCAAAGAATCATCAAAAGAAACTCTCGAAATTTCAGATTATATAAATTCTACTTTATCACAACTTAAATAAAAAAAAGATACTGACCTAATCGAATATTAAAAAAAATATATACAAACTCATATTATATACAAATAAAACTATTACTTAAAATTTATTCAAAACTGAAACTTTTCAAATTATTTCATTCAGTTAAACTTGTCACATATTTTTATAGTATTCTACATTTGGTTAATCATTTCCAAATTCAAATTAACCAAATGTAGATTTACTAAATGTAGATTTTTAAAATACATATAATATAAATTAATTTTAAATCTATTATATATTAATTAAAAAAAATATATATTACATAATTTAAGTAATCGATTCTACATTTTGTTAATTTTTTTTTCTTTAAATATCTACATTAGGAATCGATAACATACTTAACAAATATAATTATATTAATAAATATAAATAATTTTTTATATAATAAAATGTTAATTCTTTGATAAAATTAAAATGAATAATTCAAAGATTTTTTTATTACCTAGTGAATTGATGTTAATAATAATTGAAAACATCAATTTTGTTTCTATTAAAGAATTAAGAAACTTTGCTTCCGTGTGTAAATTTTTTCTAGATCATCTAAAAAAATCTATTACAAAAATTTCAGTTAAAAATAATAATATGATTTGGAATCCTGAGATTTGTTCAGATGAAATATCTAAAAATTATCTAAAAATTATTCAATATATTATTTTATTCACAGATTTTAAATATTTACATATAACATCAAAGGTTAATTATTCTTTTAAAACCAAAATTAGGCAATATATCATTTCAAATTCTAAATTATTCCTATTGGATGATTATTATTATTTTTATGAAATTAATACATGCTACATTTTAAATTTAAAATTAAATTTATATTATGAGATTAATACTGATGATTTAGAATTTTGGTTTTTAGCATATAGTAATGAAAAAAATTTTATAAATTCAAAAAATCAAAAATATTATTTGCTTAATAATAGTTTATTTAAAAAATTATTAGAAAATAATTTAATTAAAGTGAAATTAACTTAAAAACTGAAATAAATTAACATTTTTTCTATTTCATTGACAGACCTGACACATTAGATCCTGCACTTTTACGCCCAGGTCGTTTAGATCGAAAAGTAGAATTTTCTCTACCAGACTTAGAGGTAAATTAAAATATTGCCATACGTATATTTTGAATAATTGATTTTACAACTGTAGGTCACACAATTCATTGTTCATGCAAAATAGGGTCGTTCGCACATTTTGAAAATTCATGCCAAAAGGTAAATTCATTCCGACTAATCAATTTATTTACTTAAAATTACTAAATATACTGCTATATCAGTATGTCAGTTGAACGTGACATTCGGTACGAGCTTATCGCGCGTCTCTGCCCAAATAGCACTGGTACGAAAAATACATTTACCTTGTTTTGGATATTTGTTGATTGTTGTCTTTAATTTATTTTGCATTAACAAAAGGTGCTGAGCTACGTAGCGTATGTACTGAAGCCGGAATGTTTGCCATTCGTTCAAGAAGAAAGGTAAAATCATAATTTCATTCTAATAAAATTAGATAAGTGGCCCTCGAAAGTAGAAACCACCGAATTTGACTTTTAAAAAAAATTTGGTTGCTTAACTTTCAAGACCTATCTATATCTCAATGAATTTCAAAGCTATTTCAATAATTTAAACTTTAAAGTTTATTTTAAAATTTAAATTATTGAAATAGCTTTGAAATTCATTGAGATATAGGTCTTAAAAGTTAAGCAACCAAATTTTTTTTAAAAGTCAAATTCGTGGTTTCTACCTTTGAGGGCCCAAGTTATTATATATTATTGCTCTTAATGACTAATTACCTAATATGAACAGGTTGCAACCGAGAAAGATTTCTTGGAAGCCGTAAATAAAGTCATTAAGGTTCGTATTAATATTATCTGTTTGTTAAACTTGAATTTTCATTGGCTTTGTTTGTCATTAATTTTATTATTTTATGCATTTTCATGCAGTCCTACGCCAAATTCTCATCAACACCAAGGTATAAAATATTACTATTTATCATTTAATTTTTATTTTTGGAAATAATATATATTAACTGATTATTTATAACGCAATTTAGATACATGACTTACAATTAAGGTTGCGGACCAAACCTTTTTTTTTAAATTGTGACATTACTACATAATTTGGGGTTGTTTGGAATCGGGATTTCTAATTCATTTTGGATAATATCCAAATCCCAAATATATGCCCCATTTTTGGTTAATAGTGTCAAGCTCAAAAAATCAATCAATTTGTTAAATCAATGCTATAAATTATTAAAACTAAGAACATTAGAGTATTTAGTAACTAAGTAGAGTATGTTGAATAAAAAATGATGCGTTAAGTCTAATATTTATTTTGAATAAGTACAATAGGGGAAAAGTATTTGCGATTTTTAATTGTTAGGTAATTTTGTTATGCTTTATATTATAAAGAATGAATTTGCCAATGTAAAGAATTTTCACTAACAAATCGATAGTTAATGATTGCTTTTTGTTTATAAAATCAACGTGCTTAGTGAACATGTAATATGATATGAATAGTAGTGGTGTATGGTAAAGCATGTATAATACATTAAACAAGCAAACACGTGTGTATGGTTGGTGATGTCAAACTGAGTATTGAATGCGACGCTAAAGA